AAAAAAAAAAAAAAAAATCAACGGGGAACCTATACCCCCGCGATCAACGAGGGACGCTCCGAATGCAAAGTAATTTCTAGACAGTAGCGAGAGCTGTGACTCCTCCGAGTAACCGTTTACTGGGTGGGTCCCGGGGGATCCTCAAGTGTCTCCAGAGCAGCTCGGGGGCCAGAGGCAGGCTCTTAATCGCTGAGGGGAGCTGGGTTTCCTGCTGACATGCTGGCGTCTCGCTGGGAGGCGGGCGTCGCGGGACCTAAGGACGCCACCTCGCGGAGCAGTCCGGCGTCTCCCGCAGTCTCTTTGGCGTCTTTCCCTCCTTTCTCCCAAGGGACCGAACTGGACGGACGTCGCTCGAGGCCGGGTATGGGCAGGTCGTCTGAAGCCTGGCTTAGTGTTTCCTCCGTTTCTGTTTCGCCTTCTCGGGTCTGGGCAACTTCGGGAGGAGCGGGCGGGACGTCCAGGCCCGAGGGGGCGGCGCCGAGGGGCCTCTCGCTGTTTTCCTCCCTCAGGATAAACAGGGAGTCGGCCACGCCGCTGGAGCAGGCCCGCTTCCTGGGGGACGGAGGGAGGTGTTTGCCATGCAGGGCGCTGTCGTCCTGGCCGCAGTGCCAGTCGGCGTGGTCCCCAGACCCACTGCCGAGGACGGCAAGGTTGTCCTCGCTCGGGGCGCTGGATTTATTCTGGAAGGAGAGACAACCGAGTCAAACACTCTATGCACAGGTGACACTAACACCGGGCGTCGCGGCCACGGTAAGAACGTGAGTCACTCACCGCGGGCTTGTAATCAATGTTGTCCATGGATCGGAAGAAGTCCAAGCTCCTGGCCGCCGCCAGCTTGCCCTGGTCGGAGCTGTGGGTGCTCAGCGTGTCCAGGATCTCTCCCAGCAGGTCCATTTCGCCGGAGCACGGGGCCTTCCCCGTCGTCTCCGCCGAGTCATCGCTCTCGTAAAAATAAGCGGCGGCCTCTTCGCCGTCTTCAGACGACAACCTGAAGGAAAGCCAGACACGCTCTGGGGGTCCTGCAACCAGCAGGCCGCGCGCACCCGACCCCCCCACGCCCGTTAGGGAGCCGGTTCAGGGAAGTGAGGGAATAAAACAGACGATGGGTTCGCGGCCAAGTTCTTCCCAGGGGCGTCTAGACCAGTTGATAGCGGAGGTTCTGACACGTGCAGGAGGAACAAGCGGAAGGAAAGTCCCCAGGGCCTGGCCGCTGAGCATCGACCCATCAACCAGGAGGTTGGGGTTCGATTCCCGGCTGGGGCACAGGCCCGGGTTGTGGCTCGATCACCAGTCGGGGGCGCGCAGGAGGCAGCCGATCCATGACTCTTATCATTGATGTTTCTCTCTCTCTCAATCCCTCCAAAATCAAGAAAAACAAAAAACAAAAAAGTCTACAGCACCTGAGTGAGGAAGCACGAGCCGGGGCGTCACACAGCCTAATTCTGTGGGACTCGGGACATTCGCCTTGGAAATAGTAGACCGAACACCTAGAACATGGGCTAGGGTCGAGCTCACTTTCGGTATTTTTATGTGGTTTTCCCTGTATTTCTTTGCTTGCCTCAGAGAAGGCATATAGTGAATAAAGAATGTCTATGTGTCATCCCCTTGTGTCTTAAAGTAGTTAAGAAGTTAGACATACACTATTGTCAGTTCCCTTATTTGATAACACGATTCGTTTTTAACACTTTCCACTAAACGTCCCCCTTCTGCATCATGGACGTGAGTCTCTCCAATCCCCAGCTCGTCTGTCTCCATGGACGGTTATCACTGCCCCCGACCCTGCATCCGCCCTCCTCCGGGCAGGGCAGGGGCCTAACGTGGGTGGCTTCCCGGCTCCCCTGTCACCGGGCCGCAGACGCCTCCACGGGCATCACTGCGCCCCAAGAACCAGACGGCTCACGTCCCCTTTGCGCTCCCATCTCAAGGTCTGTCCCCCACGAGCCTCCGGCCGGCCCGGGTTCCTCTGGGCGCAGAACATGACCCAGGGGGTAAAACCTGACCCCCGGGAGTGCGCTCGCTCTGCAGCGTCTCTCGCGACCTACGACCTCTGCGTTAAGCCACGCGGCCCAGGAGGACATGAAAATCCAGGACTGACTTGCTGGCTCGGTCCACGTCATCGTCATTGCCATCGTCCAGGGCGCCATCGAGGCTCTTAAGAGGCCTGTTCTGTCGTGCCTGGGGAGAGGGACAGACGACAGGTGGCGTCAGCAGGCGAGCGAGTCTCCTTCGTCACGTTAGGCCCGACGGGCTCTTTTAAAAGCGGCGCGCACTCGGGGCTGTTGGCGCCTGACCAGCCGGGCGGGAAGGAGCGGGGCAACCAGGGGCGATTCTTCTCAACACTCCCTCCACCGCACACTAATAAACCCCAAACAAATCAGTCAACGGAGGGGGAAAAAAGGGGACCCTCTGTAATATTTTCAACAATAAAGGTAAATTTAAAAGACAAGTCGGAGGACCGACCGTGGACGTACCCAGGTCAGCCTCTGTTTTGGGAACACCTGACTTACAACGGGTTCGATCGACACTCGGGACAAACGGCAGCTTGTTTAACGGAAGCACCACAGGCCTCCGAGCTCCAAGGAGCCCAGATCTTGTCCACGTTGCTGTTTCCGATGGACCGGGACTGGGGGGCAATGCTTTTGGGGGGAATAAAGGAATTGCTCCCACCACGCCCGGAACATACAACACAGGGCAAAAGGCCTGGTCCCAGTTCTGTACCCAAATACGCTTAGACTGCAGGAAATACAGCGTGTGCTCCTTGGTGGTGACACGCGGCCAGCCGAGCCCCTCTCTACCTGGCTCCATAAATCACAGACGCGCAGTTATCGGAAACCTGCACACGCAACGAGGCAGGAACCGAACTACCAAGGACTGCGAAGGAGAAGAGCAATCTCGATACGTCCAATAGAAACGAAAAACAGACACATCTTTTAACGCAACTGACTGTAGCTTTTGGGAAGGGGCGCCGATCGTTTTATCTCCGTAACGGCAAAGATGATAAACGGAGCAGGCGCTGGGGGAATGGACGGGGCGGGTTGTAAGCGTTCAGAGGAAGGTATTATTCCATTTCAGGTCCGGATAGAAACCCGCGGCAATAAGCACACAATGGGAACGCTTCCGAGCGTCCCTAAACACCTTCAAAGGGGATTATGAGCCACGACTCCCTGAAACGAGCACCCAGAGGACCGTCACGCGGCCTGTATTTGGGAACCGAGGCCCTTTTTGTAAAGAGTGATTATGAAACAGATGAAGAGACACAGCTACAGGCACACAATGTGATGAAAAAATTGAGACAGAAAAAAATAAGTTGGTTTCCAGAAAAATAAAGCCTATAAGTATATATTTTAAATATGTCTTTATTGATTTCAGAGAGAGGAAGGGGGCGGGGAGAGAGAGAAACATCCCCCGACGGGGGATCGAGGCGCCGCATGGGCCCCGACCGGGAATCTAAACAGTGGCCCCCGGTTCGTGGGACGCTCGACCCCTGGGCCATGCCGGCCGGGCTATAAATATTTTTTCGAAGTTCTGTTAAATGACGCGACAGAGTCCCCACACCTGGGAAATGAGTGGACGTCCCGGGTAAGCCCGCCTCCCACTGCCTGTGTGTTCATTTGCCTTTCGCTGCTGACATAGCTTTTTTCTGTATTTTGAAATGTATGCGGCTTTTCCCATAAATTTTTACGAAAAGGCGGGGGGGCGGGGGGGACTTTTTCTTTTCTTCCCGATCAGGAACTAACAGCAGCCGGCTTTCTTTACCGTATGGCCACCGGACGCAAGGCGGTAACACTGTCCTTTGCTACCTCCCACGTCTGGGAAGCGCTGACAGGCCGTGAAGGACACTCCTGGGTGTCCATAAAGTTAGCCGACAGCCTCTTTTAATAATAAAACGCAAGCCTGTCAAGGTCTGATATCGTAACACACGATGAACATTTTAGGAAAGGAGGTCATACAGTTAGGAATGAAGTCACAGGGGGAAAAAAGTTACATATTTTGGTCCCTGGCGTCACCGTGATTTTCACGATCTCAGGCAGAATCCTTTGGTCTGTTGGATGGACACCGGCGTGAGTAGTCAAGGGCAACGTGGAGACTAGTAATGCATTTAAGTAACATCTTATCCAGATCAATAATACTCACAACGAAACACCACCATCTCGACCATCAAAATATCTCACAACACACATGAAATAAGAGAGCCAACTAAAATTAACCGAGGGGACGTCTCTCCATCCTTCCGACCATTGCCTTGCGATTTTACCTAAATGCACACGGGTCAGAACATGCCTCCTTCTGTCCCTTTGGTAATTTTACTCCCTCGGTTGATTAAAAGCATTACTTTCCTTCAAGATAAAGGTCAACGTGCTCGGCGTCCAGGACACTCCCACCCAGCCGTGGTCAGGAGCCACCTTTCCGCTTCGATCTCCTGTCCCTCTGACGTCCAGTGGCCGCCGCTCACGACATTAGCCCCAGAAAAGGACGCGTTCGTTCCCGTCGGAGTTCACCGCGGGCGGGCCCTCCGAGGCCCGGAGCCCAGAGATTTGGAAACTAAAACGCAGCTCACGGGGACACACAAAACGCAACGCTCGCCGGCGAGCGAATTCCCTTAGTTTTGGAAGCGAGCCGCTGGAAGGCAGGAGGTGCTTACAAAAAACGTGAAAAACAGCAAACGGACGGAAAAGAAAAGGTTGTCGGCGTGGAATGAAATGCAGGAGAGAAGGGTAACCTACAGCCGGGCATCGAATGGAATCAAGAAGAAGAGCTGGTAAAAGCCACCAACTCAGTGTCAGGAT